GCACTTTTCACAGTTGTAAGATGTATTAGTCCCAGTGTGATTCTCTGGCAACTGCCAATGTGTTTGTACACCAAGTTTGTCCTTGCCTTACCTAGCAAGTTTAGTGATTATATCCATACCAAACAGTATATTAGATTCTTTTTAATGTTTTATTAAAAAAAGACACACTTTTACTGGCCTAATCTCAGAGCTTGTGCTTAACAACAAAGATTCAAATATCTAAACTGTTGTTTTAAGATTCCCAGTTCATCTTACGGAATTGATAATTGCATTAAATTTTTTCTTGCTAAATGGTATAGAAGTAATATTTTTTAGATTTTATTCCTTAATGATAATATAGTGTGTAGCATACTGTGTTGTCTCCTCCACATGTGATTTTTAAGCTCGGGAAGCTCACACTTATTGTGAACAGCTCCAGAATGTGGCATTTCATTAATATTTTTTTTGTAATGTTGGTAAAAAATATATAATTTGCATACTTTTTTTTTCCTGTAGTGTTACAACATTTAAATTCAAAGATTATAAATAATAGTGAAATAATAGCTGAAATTTCATCTAACAATTTAGGTAGGAGTTAGGATTATTTAAATACTGTGAAACAATTATGATTTTAAGGTAAACACATTGATCAGCTTTTACTAGAAAAATCATGTATTGGTGATAAGTTGTGAGATGTATGAGCACAGTTTACTGTATCTTAACGTCAGTGGAATTTTCATTTATAGTGTTGTGTGAAGGGATTTTGAAAAGAAAGTTTCCATTCAATAAGCATTTTTTAGAAATATGAAAATACAAGATTTATTTGTAAATTTTAAATAGGTTTAAAGATGACACAGAAATTGAGGCTGGAGAACGGTTTCGCTTCTTATATGAAGATGATGAAAGCTATTCTTTGGTTATTAAGAATGTCAAGAAAGAAGATGGAGGTACTTACAGCGTCAAAGTCACAAATGATTTGGGAGAAGCTGAAGCTTCATGCACCCTAACTGTTACAGGTATCTAAATATAGTAACATAATTAATAATATTGTAAATTAATTTCAAAGAGATTTAGTACTGATATTCTAAAATCTCTGAGAAGAAGTTTTAAACTTTTTAATTATAGTAGGTTTGAACATTTGTCAGAAAAGCTTTCTTAGTTAAACTTTGATCTATGTGAAATGAAACAATTCATGATGGATGAAGAAATACTGGAAATACCGGCAGTACCAGTAATGTATTTATTAATGCTGATAACCAGCAAGCTTATGTTTTGGAACAAAATGTACTGGTTCATGGCAAATATTGGCACTTTCGGCATCTTGCTAGTTTCCCAACATCAGCAATTATCTATTTCCAAGTTTGTCCTTCTAACCTGCCAAATGCTAGTACCAAATTTGTTCTTCCAACTTACCACACACTAGTTTTAAGTTTACTCTTCTTGTCCAGCATTTCCTTGTATCAAACTGGGTCTTTATAGGATGTGTTATATTTAGTGTTGAGATCAATCTTCCAGGATATATTAGTCAGTCTAATGCTCTTGAAACTACCAATGTGCTTGTACACCAAGTTTGTCCTTCTAGCCTAGCAAGTACTGATATTAGAGTAAGAGTAGGGTCTACTGAACAGGAGGTTTTGATGGATGTGATATTACAGAGTGTGGGTCAGTTTACTTTCTGGATTCCAAATAAGTTTATCAACAAAGCGTTGGTACAAAAAAAAGCTCTACAACAATCTTTCAATCTTTATTAAGATGAACACCAATGAAATACAAAACAATACAAGGATAAGTGTCCTATGAATGTGTTGAATCATTGAGAGATGGGTAAAGGGACCTTTAAAGTTTCTCTCACTAGTCCAGTGTGGTTCCACCAGTAAGCTACACTGAAATTATAAAAATAAATCCTGCAACATTAAACATGTTAAACCTTTAAGATGAAACAACAACTAACTTGAAAATTTCATAAAATCTAAATCTTAGTCAAAACATATGTTTATGACAATCTGCCTAACAGGGGTGTACCTGGCTTTAAATACAAAAAACACTAATAATAAGAAAACCAGGTTGCTCATGCCACACTCTTTGTACACGTGATCTAGAGCCATATGCATTTAAGCCAAGGGGCAAGGAAATTCGAGGCTATTTTACAGCTGGGCAACAGAAAAGGTGGCCATCTTTTCCAAGACCCCATGAGTGAAGTCACGGCTATCTCTCCTGCAAGAGAATATGCTAAGTGACAATATCAATTATAAAAAAACATGGAACAAAAAACTGTAATTATAGGATCTGTTAGGCTTCAAACATTCTCTTTGTTAGTTGTCACCATATTTTTCCTTTTGAATATGGCTAATCCTAGACTGAGAGGTCATCATAGGCATCCATAACACTCGTACCATCACTATTTCTCTTTTTTTCTACCCAGTGTAATAACTCTTTATGGGTTCTTGAATCATATGTGCATAGATGGGGACTAAACGTATGCACCTCATGATATTTTACAAAGTGCTATTTAACATGGTAGTATGTATCTGATATCAGATTTATCAACTGCTCATCTTACCCTACATTGCTGATTTAATAACAGTTCATAGTAGAGAAGAGTAAATACAGTATACAGGGATTCTGAAAAAAATGTAGATATGCAATTTTGGAGGATCTAGAGGTTATGAAAATGCAATATGCAAACTGTAAAATGTACAGCAAAATTTTTATTCTTCACATGAACATCACCTTGCACTTTAACTTGTCAGAATCTAAGTTGGACTGATGTTCGAAGTTCACAGATATATCTTATGTACAAATACTTTTGTATTATATTTGATTTTTTGTGTTCAACAGACTTGTATATATTACTAAAAGTGTCAGAATTATGATGAACAAATTCCTTACAGTAGGTGTCTGTGACTTGTTGGAGATAAATTTCAACAATAAACAGACAGTGCACAATCCTCTTATTTTAAAATAATATATTCAAAACAAGGCAAATGTGTATACAAAAATTCATTACACTATTGGTTATCACAGTTGCATCAAGAGCTTTAATAATTGTCTCCTTTTCATCAAAGTCCACACAGGCAGGTTCAATTACTTTAGAACACCCTATGACAAAACAAGTTATTCTCCTCTATCTCTGTTATTACAATACAAGCTGTGAAACTCACTTTAGAAATTTCCCATTACGGCTAAACTCACACGCAGTCTAACTTGAGTTTCCCTAATTTATTTATTAGCACTAACTTAGTCGCCTATATACATATATATACATTGCACAACTGAAGCCAAAAACTTTCTACAAACTATGAGACAACTATGATGTAACAATACTCACATAAAACTATGAGAAAAATTCAGAAGGTTCGATTAATGTGATATCAATTCACAATAGTTGAACTACACAACAAATGATTCTTAGACAGTTATGTAAACAAACCTATGATAAATTATTGGTTCTAAAAATACTAAGTTTAACACATGTGCTTTATAACTATCTAGATCATCACTCTCTTATTAAATTTTAATGAAACAGTTGTGTATATCTAACAGAAAGCTTGCCACATTTTGTGTATAAATATGTAATAAATTTGGAATAATAGGCAACATTCCTTCTCCAGTATGAAGTTGGTCCAATGAATCAACCCTGTACACATTCAATTGAACAAGTACTCTCAGGCTAGGACCTGAATCCAGGATCTTTTACTTGCAGGACTACTGCTGAAAGCCAAATTTAACCTGTGTCATTTTTTACTTTAATCATGATATAATTTTTTTGTCTTGAAATTTTGATAATGTTAATAAAAAATGTCGTTTCTGAAGAATATACAGGGTGGTCCAAAATTGACTCTTCTACTTTAAATTTAATAATTAACTAACTAAGGAAATGCAACCAATCAATTTTCAAGATCTTGTAGCCCAACTCAAACAGTTTTTATTGACATATCAGTAGACTTCTACATGTGTACTATTAGTGGCTCTTGGCATGTCTAACCAAAATTGGGTTTCAGTCCATGTTTGCTGCAACATGCCCACACTTACAGTGGCGATGGCATCCATTATCTTGGTCTTTAGCTCCATGATGTTTGTTATAGGTGTGTGATACACAATATCCTTAACATACCCCCATATTTCTTTCTTGCACTGGCATCTATAATTGCCCTGCACCACAGTCACTGAATTGTTCTCTGCAAGTCAAATAACACATTGAGCCTTTTAGCTGTATGGTTGCCATTTTTAAAGGTAACACTACTTATTGCACTGAAAAAAAACATCACAGTACAAACTGTTTGAGTTGAGCTACAAGATGTTGAAAACTGCATAGTTGTATTACATTAGATATGTAATTATTAAAATTTATAATAGGAAAGTTGATTTTCGACCACCCAGTGTATTTTCATGTTGTTATTAGAAACAATGAACGTTATGAAGTTTTAAGTAAACTCACTGTTTTAAACAACATTTCTTTATTATTCATTAGATTAGTTTAAAGACTTTAGTATACATAGCTTAAATATGTTAAATGGATGTTGCTAACTATTACATTTTAGGGAGGATTTTAGAGCATAAGAAATTTTTATGCTAAACTTAAACCAAGTTTAATACAATGAAATTTTTGACAGCTCGTCCAAAATTCCTTAAAGAAATGAAAGATGTGTCAGTAATGACAGGAGAGGATGTGAAATTTGAAGTTAAAGTGGAAGGAAAGCCCAGCCCAGAAGTCCAGTGGTTTGTACTTTTAATTATCACTGAAATTAGGCAGACCTAATGGGATTTCAATTTTGTACCCAAAATATGGTCACTGCCAGATTTTGTAACACTTATTATCTTATGGTTTACTTTCTTTTTAACACTGAGTCATAAACACAAAATCAAGTTTTAGATGTAAATCTAAGTTGTTCTAGCTTCAATCAAGTTGAATCAAACAATTCTAAACAACCTAAATATTTTGTGTTATCTTTGGTGGAAGAAATTTTACTACCTGTTATTTTATGGTTTACTTTCTTTTTAACGCTGAGTCATAAACACAAATTTAAGTTGTAGATGTAAATCTAAGTTGTTTTAGCTTTAGTCAAGTTGAATCAAACAATTCTAAACAACCTAAATATTTTGTGTTATCTTTGGTGGAAGAAATTTTACTACCTGTTATTTTATGGTTTACTTTCTTTTTAATGTCTGAGTCATAAACACAAAATCAAGTTGTAGATGTAAATCTAAGTTGTTTTAGCTTTAGTCAAGTTGAATCAAACAATTCTAAACAACATAAATATTTTTTGTTATCTTTGGTGCGAGAAATTTTACTACCTGTTATTTTATGATTTACTTTCTTTTTAACCCTGAGTCATAAACACAAAATCAAGTTGTAGATGTAAATCTAAGTTGTTTTAGCTTTAGTCAAGTTGAATCAAACAATTCTAAACAACATAAATATTTTGTGTTATCTTTGGTGCGAGAAATTTTACTTAATATAACTCAAATCATTATACAACTATCCTGATGAATCCAAAGCAAGATACATATGTAAAACAGAAAATTATGAAATGCATAAATACTGTAGTATAAAAAAGTGAAAACTTTCTTCCAGGCCTATATTAACATAAAGATTTAATTACATTTTCAACAGTTAATATAAGAGAAACTCCTAATAGAATATCTGAATACAACTATTGACATGGACTGTCTGTCATTATACTTGTCTAGAATTTTGCCAATTAGAAGAATCACTAGTTTCTGTCTATAATATTTTTAGGAGTTTTCGGCATTACTAAACATTCAGCTTACAACACGTTGGACTTTGCCTGTGTGTTGTGTTTTATAAATACATTAAAAAATGCAAGCAACAAACAAATATTTTTTCCCATGTTGAACAAGTTCAAGTAGGACTAAGTGTTGATTAATCACAGAATGAGTTGTTATATTAAGTTTTAAAATAATCATTATGGTTTTGAAGATATGCACATACAATGTTAAATATGTAGTTAAGCATAGTGCACTCCATAACAGTTGCTGAGTTGATAGTGGATGCATTAAATGAGAATTTTCAACACTTGAAAGAAAGCACTATTTCTGTAACTTACTGACCCAATCTTTGTGACCACTGGGTAAAGTATTCAAGATAGCAGAGAGTATTACTTGTCGTAACAGAAAAGATTATAATTATTGTAGAATGTTATGAAAAAAGTCTGTTTGAGACTTAAATTTAGTGAGTATGAGACTAAGGGGTCAAAATTCAGTGTTTGGCCTAAACATTGGTGTGCTAACATAGACTGGCATTAGTTGATGACTTATCATCACTTGTGATAGAACAAAACCTTTATTAGTATACATTTGTCTGTTAGTAATGAAATTAATAACTTCATTGACAAAATAACAAAAAAAATCAGTGAGTCTTATCACATCATCCTCAATGGTAAAAATAATATAGTTTTCACTGCCAACAGTCAACACAATGGTTTCTGTGGTGGCTACCATCTTAGTTTGCTCACAGAGATCATAAATGAAATTTGCTCAGTGATGTTCAAATAACTGGTCTTGAGTATACGCAAGTCACTAAAATAAACACACAATAGTTAATGTGCCACAGAATAATTATGTTTAAGACTAAATGACAAGTATATGATATACACTGGAAATGTTAAGTTACTGAGTGCCTTTTGATGTTCATCATGAGTGTTCCTAAGCACCCTGATTAATAATAATCAATTCATCTCAATTGGTCCATCTCATATTCAATGATTATGAACTTCATTTCTGTAATGTTGTGCCTACATCCAGTTTTTTCCTCGTCATTCTTCATTCCTGGGAAGAATTCCACCTTAGAATACTAGAATTTGTCATTAACCTGATAAAACCAGCAATTAACCAGAAGATGATTGTGCTACCATTACATTTTAAACTAAAACAAAGAACTTAAATAGCAGTGCCTGAAACTGTATAGCAACTACTAAACATACTGCTAAGTACCCAAATATAACATGGGATTATTATTTCTCTACAAGATCACTAAGATATATTAAACATATTGCTAAACACCCAAATATAACATGAGATTATTATTTCTCTACAAGATCACTAAGATATATTAAACATATTGCTAAGCACCCAAATATAACATGAGATTATTATTTCTCTACAAGCTCACTAAGATATATTAAACATACTGCTAAGTACCCAAATATAACATGAGATTATTATTTCTCTACAAGCTCACTAAGATATATTAAACATACTGCTAAGCACCCAAATATAACATGAGATTGTTATTTCTCTACAAGCTCACTAGGATATATCAAATTACAAATATTTTTTTTCTTAGTGTCAAAGAAGGTTTAGTCTTTGTAATACAAGTGATAAAAGTGAATACTTAATCTTTATAACATACGTAATTAGACCTAATAAGGAAAAAATCTTCACTTAAAATGAAATGAATTATTATTTATTTCTGATTAATGCAAGCTATCTACACAGATTGTAATAACAATAGTAACGTGTCAACCATTTTAACAATAATTACACTTACTTATGAACCTTACATCTTTTGTGAGCTTCGTGGCTTTAATAATAGAAATATTGATCAGTGTTTCTTTCAGTGAGAAAATATAAATATTCTGTTATGCTTCATACCATTATGATCTTTTAGTTTTCAAACTCCATTTTAAGTTACTGTTCATTTTGGAAGAATCTTTTAGGTTGCGATAATGAACTTTTACTTTAGAATATTGTTTTTGGTTTTTCTTGATTTCATCATTCAAAAATGCACGTTCCATTGTTGGACTACGTCTCACTCGGGATCTTGCAATGCGATTACTAATAAATTTTGGTACGACTTGTTTTGCGATGCGTGTATGGTTATTTATGAATTCTCATGCCACTGTGAATGTCAGTACGTAGGTCACACTTCACA